ACTGAAAATAAAGTTGGTACCTATCAGTTGGAGATTAGATGGCAAAAGTAGGGTCTACTTATGTAAACATAATGGAATATTATTGTACTATAAGAAATAGCAGATATGATGGATTCAGAGAAACCTGAGAAGACTTACCTGAACTGATGTAGAGTATGATGAGTAAAAACAGAATAATTCATACAAATATCACAATAATGTAAAAGAAAGCAAAATCCCCATATTTGTTAATAAAGAGATTGCTAAGAACTTCCTGGTTTTAGCTGAGTGGTGAATTTGGAAACCAGATTGCAAGGAATTGAAAAGGGAGAGGACAGGAAGCAAATAATCCAATATCAACAGTGTTTTCTAGGTATTTGACTGTGATAGGAAGGATTGTAGAGGGTGATAGTTTGAGGAGTATAATAGGAATAAATGGAGGTATTTTAAGATTGGAGATAACCTTGGACTTGTTTGTAGTAGCAGGGAAGGAATCAGTAGATGAGGAAAGCTTGAATCTTAGAGAGAGAGGTTATTTGTTGATTCATTCTGCTAGCAGAGATGAGTAGGAATGAGATCTTTAATAATATCTTGTTCAGATCCAGAGCATTCCATTGACATTACTTTCAAGGTCAGCTACCCATCATGTTGAGGAAATAGAAGGATATTTTAGTGGAGAATAACATGTAGTAAATACTGAAGAGTAGTGTGTGTGTGTGTGTGTGTGTGTGTGTGTGTGTGTGTGTGTGTGTGTGTGTGTTGGGGCGGGGGGGGAGGGGAGGTAGCCTTACCAAGGAAAAGAGTCACTTCTTTATCAGAGGGTGGAGTAAAGGAGGCAATAACTGGGAATGATAACAAGGGTTTTGAGGTGAGAAGATAGAGTTTATTACTGTGGCCTGTAAGTATGAGGCAAGGTCCTCTGTTGAATGAATAAAATATTTATTAAGCATTTATTGTGTACAAAGCACAGCAACCTTTCACTCAATGTTAAGAGGCGGGGGGAGAGGTACTGTAGAAAGCTTGAGGAGAGAAGAGGTTTGGCAGAGTTACCTCGTGGAGTGCAGTGATTTGTCAATTAGGGAGAAGTGAAAGGACTTTGTTGTGGCAGTGAAAGTCCCATTGAGATTAAATTTGTTATTTAGTTGTTTTTCATTTGTGTCAGACTCTTTGTGACCCCTTTTGAGGTTTTATTGGCAAAGATACTAGAGTGGTTTGCCATTTTCTTCTCTAGCTCATTTTACAGATGAGGAAACAGAGGCAGAGTTAAGTGACTTGCCCAGGGTCACATAGCTAGTAAGTGTCTGAGGCTGGATTTGAACTTAGGTCTTCCTGACTCTAGGCCTAGCTGCCCTGAGATTAAATAGCATACATTTATAATGAACCTAATTAGCACCATTACATGACTTTCTCCAAATCTGATCAGCAGCATGTGAGCAGGAATGAGAGAGGTAGAAAGAGTAATCAAGTCTATGTGTAAGGTACAGATTTTGAAACACACAGTGGGCAGTGTCAGAAGACTAAAAGTGCCCAGCCCCATTTGTAAGGGGTGAGTAGAGTTTTCTTAGGATGCTATTTTCTCTATAGATGTACTGCTTATACTCTGTGGATTAATAGCCATCAAAATCAATAAGGTCTAAATGATGTAAGTGATTTTTAACATTCTTTCATTTAACAGATTTCTAGTGTGAACTATACTTAATGATCAGCCTAAAATGGAAATAGATATTTATTGCAGGGCTTTGAGTTATGAGTTCATTTTGTAATTGAGTTGGGACAAAGATATGATTACAGTGTGTTCATTATATGCACTATGGCTTAAATAATGCCTTCAAATGCATGCATGTAGATGAAACTGCATCTGTGAGTCAGAGGAAAAATCCTCTCTTTTGTTATTCCATAGTAATGGGAAAATAGGTTCTGAGATTGATTTTGGCAGCTCATAAAAGTGCAGAGTTATAATATTGCATTGTATTCTAAAAATTAGAGGGCATGGATTGACTTAAATACCAGTAGCCAGCATTTCAGTCCTAGATTTCTTGGCCTTCAAAGAGGTTGGTATTAGGAACAGTCCAATGGAAATTTATATTCCCATTTTATCTGGTTCTAATATCCCCATACCTAACTGCCCTTGAATAGGCTGTTGGTCATTCATGTTCTGTTTCTTTTGAATCTGCATCCCTGCCACAAGTCCCAGGAGGAGAGATATCTAACTCCTTTAAAAAATATTTCTTCCGGTCCCTGATTCTCCTCTTGCCACCTATAGAACACAAACCTAGCCAAGTACCTAAGCTTTCTTGTATTTAGTTCCCCAGACTTCTATGTGCTGGCTTCCAGGTTCTTTCAACTTCAGGAAAATTTGGACAATGGAACAATACCATAATGATACCACTATGACATGTATTAAGCTCAGGGGCTAACCAGGCACTGATTGGTTGAGGAATAGGGAATGGAAATCTCCAAACTATATCTTTTATATGTCCTTGAAATCCACCCAGAGTTCATCGCTTTGTTGTTGCCCTCAAAGAGCAGACTAGGCTTCCTTGCCAAGGGCTTCAATTCTGCTTCCAACTCAGATTCCTGAGAAATAATAATTTTTTTTGTCTGTAGTCTAAGCAATCTTCCCCAGAAAGGAGTTGGAGAGGGAGAAATATAACAGACCTCCAGTGTACAAACATGAACAGGCATGGACTGGTAATTTTATTCCCATACGGAAAAGAGAATACTAAACAATAAAGAATGATAGTACGATTATGATCAGTTTAAGGGCTAATATTCAAGCATCATTGAGATATTTGCAGGTTCTACTAATTAACTAATTTACATTTCACCACCATTGAGTACAGACTGATCAACATCTTTAGTGGTCTCTTTCTTTTCAGTGTTCTCTCTCCCTCTCTCTTTGTGGGCAACTCACCATCAGCTGATCTGCCTTCATTGCTATTTCCACTCAAACTGTGGCAATGTATTCACTACACTGTCGCTCAAGTGCCCAGGAAGGGGAAGATGCCACTTGCCTTTTGAGATCAAAGAAGGCTTCCTGCCAAATGAAAGAGTATGCTGGCCCAGTCTAAAACACAGGTTTGCCTAGGAGGCCGTGGACTCTTGGTTTGCAACCAGATTAGGGGGAAAGATACTCCCTACCCAATTCTCTATACTCTCCTTATATTTTAAGACCTGAGAGATAAGGACCACTCATTTTCCATACCCGTGAATGTAGCTTATCAGTCTTAAAGAATTATCATGGCTGACAGGGAGTAGTCATAGGATATCTATGTCTTTTATGTAGTGGAGAGGAGGAGGAGGAAAAGTAGGAGGAGGAGAAGGGACCTTCCATCATTCATTCTCAAGGTGGTGGTACCTATAACTCGAAAACTTCAGGGATCTGTAGTTTTGTGAACAACCCCTTTATAACTAAATAGACTGTTTCTAAGATTTGATGTGGGTGACTATTCCCACTGCAGTCAATTCCCACAGATGGTGGGCATCTGTCTTCAGCTAGGTTTTTTTCTCTGTCAACAGATAGACGCCATCACTATGCCCTTACTCAAGGCCTTCTTAGCCTGGTAGCACCTACCAGAGCTTGTGCTCCTTTGTCTTTTCTTTTTTCAATTTTTCAAAGATTTTAATATCACCTCCACACCATGATGAGGTATAATAAGAGACTTAAGTATTAAATGATTGTTTATTTAACTTCTGTTTGCCTCAGTTTCCTCAGCTGTGAGACAGGGATAATATAGCACCCACCTCTCAGGGTTGTTGTGAGGATCAAATGAAATAATGTTTGCATAGTACTTAGCACATCGTCTAGCACTTAGTAGATCTATGTCAATGTTAACTTCTCCTTGTTTTTGTTTTTTTTATTCTTTTTCCTTCTTTTTATCATCATCATCATTATTATTATTTCAGTGGAACATAGCATAGTAAAAATCAACTATTGGCACATCCACATTAATTTTGCAGGCATATAAAGGTTGTTGCAAAAGGATTTCATGACATAACACTTTATGGCAGAAAAGAATGTCAGAGAACATCTAGACAAATTCACAGTTTATGAAAGTTAAGGTTAAGCATCTTGCCTAAGGTCATGGAGAGATTTGACAGTTGAACTGGAATCATAAACCAGATCTCTTAAATTCAAAAAGAAACATTACTTTTGAGCTGAAATTATCTTCAGACCCATTAATGAGTGCAGGCAAAAAATTGTGAGGAAAGATCCTGTTGGATGTTGTACATTGGGACATAGGTTTAAAGCTGAATAAGATCACACAGGTTACCTAGTCTGACACTGTCGTTGTAGGGATGGTTGAAATGAATCCTGGACAGAAATGACTTGCTCAAGGTCACCAAGGAAATTAGTAGCTGAGCTTAGATTCAAACCTTCATCTTCTATCTTATTCGACCTCATTTGATCCTCACAATAACCCATGAGGTAGGTACTATTATTATCCCTATTTTATAGTTGAAGAAGCAGAGGCAGAGTTTGTAACAACCAGGATTAGACAATTAGTAAGTGTCTGAGGCCAGACTTGAGTTCAGGTTTTCAACCATCTTTAGTTCCAGCTCTCTATCCACTATACCACACAGGTGAGATAATACTTGTAAGATGCTTAGCACAGTGCCGAACATCTAGTAGGAGTTCTAAAAATGCTTATTTCCTTCCCTCTGATTACAAATCCAAATCTCCACTATACTACACTTGCTAAAGTAGCAAAAATAGTTTTCTCTTTTATTCTCATTAGCCCCTCTTCTCCATGTAATGAGTAGTACTAACTTCAAATTTAGTTATAAGTGGAACTTAACCCATTTCTTCCACACCTCCCACCAGACTTTTCTGTTCTGTGTCATAATTATACATCTGGAAATGCACCATAAAATTTGTTTTGTTTCATTAGTTGGGAAGGGATGGATAAGGGAGAATGGAAAAACCATGTCTACTTATAAAAATGGAAGGCTTATTTCTTGGTGGACAGAGAAGAAAAAGAAAGCAATGGAGATATTACCTTAATATCTTTTTTGAAGAATTGGTCCTTTTTCAAAGAAACTGTGGGTGGAACTCACGGTTCCAACTTTCTCTAGCAATCCCCACCTGAAATTGAGAATGCATTTGCTGAAGAATTGGATAAATCTGGATTTCCACAACCTTTAGGGAACATTCTTAGGTGCCCAGAGGCAAAATCTATACTAAACAACTGTTTAAGATTCCTGCTACATCTTAGGACTTGATGACTTAGATGATGCAGAGGAAAAACTAAAAACTTAAATGTTTGATTTAAGGGGACAACAGGACCAGGCAAAATTTTGTAGGATGCCAAAATTCTCATGTCCTAGTTACCCATTTTCAGAGCTATGTGGTTAAAACAGCATAGCAGATGCCTTAATTCCAAAGGTATTGTAGCTCTCATTATGCACAGTTCCTACAGGGAGAAATCTTCTGTGTTTAAGTCTCTTTGAGAACAAAAACTTAGTTTTCACAGGGAAAAAAGAGGTTATTTGGTGGCTAAATGTCATTCTTATATGGCTTACTGAAAATGCCCTGGAATCTGGTATTAGAATTTTAGACCTTTATTTATTAAAACAAACAAATAAGCAAATTTTAAAAATTCATAGCAAAGCTACATGAGAATTTTTGTTTCTTTTGGAATCTACTCCAATATATTTTAAGTATATCAATATGATAAATTTATTCTACATAGTTCCTTTGTAGAGCAAAGGTGGACAGTAATCTACCAAGTATTTCAACATGTGATTGGGAATTTCAGGGCTGTGTCCAATTCAGTTTGTCTCTTCCCCTGGATTTTAGTACAAAGGTATCATGTAGGAATATTAACTGTGGAGCCAGTGAGAGCCTAGATATGATGAGTTTCCAGATGATCCTATTAATAACTATAACTCACATTCTTATACGACTCTCAGGTCCATAAAGCACTTTGCTCATGATGGTCCTGAGAGGTGGTTTGTACTAGTGCTGTTTTTCCCAAGAACATTTCGTGCCACCAAAGTCTTATTCATTCTGTTACAGAAAAATAAATGAAGCAACATCTAAAGGAAATAACCCCAAAAATGCATTGAAAAAAAAGAAAGAGGGAAGAGCCAGAATTAGAGGAAGAACTTGGTTAGAAGAAGGATATTGAGAAGATTTAATGGAAGAGCTATACATTACAAATCTAAAGACCTTGTTTCTATCCCTGTCTTCACTGCTTATACTGAAGTGACTGGCCAAATTTATCTCTATGTGCCTCATGTTTTTTCTTCTGAAAAGATGTGAGGGTAACAATATCTGCCCTGCCTCCCTTACAGGGTTGTTGTGAAAATCAAATAAGATAATATATATGAAGAGTTGTATAAATGTAAGGCATCACGATTATTATTATTATCCTCAGGGAAAATACATAATTTCAAACTGTGACTAATTGAATTAGGCATCTGACTTGTTAATGAGCCTGCTTGTGAAGCTACTGATAAATACATGAGGCCTTTCCTGATCCCCCTGGTTGTTAATGCTTTCTCCCTCTTGAAACTACTTTGTGTATCACTGTTTTGTCTGTGGCCATATTGTTTCCATCCAGTAGATGTAAGTTTTTTGAGGGCATGAATTGGGTTTTCTCTTTTTGCCTTTGGGTCTCCTGTACCTCGTATAGGATTGTTATTCTTTGTCCTTAATTTTCGAGGAGGACCAGTGACATCAAGGGGTGAGGTCTTGACTTGTACATGAATTGGATTTAAATGAGGCAAAGTTGCACAAAGTTGTCAGTCTCGCTCTCTCTTCTAGAGCCACTGAAGTCCAGTGGCAAGACAACTGGTGATGGCCTAGGATGTGGTGGATGACGTTGGCATCTTAGATGTCTTAACTTGTGACCAAGCTCTAAATGCTCTGTACCACCCGCTTTAGCCGCCTTCATGGCTATTGGAACACATTGCTCTCTAATGTTCATTCGTGCATTCTGCTGCAGGTGGTGGAGAGGTGTGGGGAGAAAGGAGAAGAAACTTCATGTGCTTGGTGTAGACATTCCCCTAACTCACTGATGGGTTTGAGGCCTATTGGTTACCCTCAACCTGGTTTAGCTCATCTGCCCAGATGGTTTTACTGGGGTGTGGCCTCTGCACATATTATAGCTTCTTGGATCCACGGGTTAGAGTTGGCTGAGAGGTGGACACCAAAGGTGGATGAGCAGCCCTGAAAAGGGCATGGTGGCCCTAACCACAGAAGTGTTAGTCCTCTCTGAACAGCCAGGTTAGGCACTTATAAGTGGTCATTGGAAAGAATTGAATTATATTCAGACTTTGAGAACTTGTAACTCCATCTCAGTTTTTAGGACAGCTGTTCTCAAACCTTTTGGTCTCAGACTCCTTTACATTCCTAAAGATTACTGAGGACTCCAAAGTGCTTTTATTTATATGATATGTCTATTTATATACATATATATGTATGTTTGTTTACCATTTTAGTAACTAAACTTTTTTATACAAATAGTTTTGACTTTATAGATTCTCCGAAAGGATCTTAGAGACCCTGAGGGGGTCTCTGAATCACACTTTGAGAACTGCTGCTCTAGTATGTGCTGCAAATGGCTACTCCCTCTCTTTATGACAGATCAGAACTAGATTGTCATCAGAACTTAGATTGTCATGTTATCCTTCCTCTTAAAAGGGTCATTGCTCTACACCTTTCATTATGTGTCCAAATGAACACATTATTAACTAGAAGCACTGAGGGGTGGGTATGAGAACTGGTGGTACAAATGTATATAGATGATATTTCCCAATGGTCTGTTGGAGAGAGTCCATTCCAATGTATTGCTAAATTTCAAGCCACATTAGCAGGAAAGTCCCTGTTCGGTCTAACACTTCAGTCTGTGAAGGAAGAATGTGTGTATGGGGTGGGGGAGGGTTCATGGTCAATTTCTATTTCTCTCTCCTCTTGACATTTTTAATTTTGGTATTGAAGATCTGTATGAAACTGAGAATAGTCACAGAAAATTAGTCATAATGATTTTGTGCACTGGCAATTATATAAGATGGCCTGTTTAAAAACAAATCTACTTGTGTTTATGACAAAGTGACTTTTTGGCCACTTTGCATAGCATTGTAGAAAAAGAGACCTTTGACTAGTAATATATACTGATAAATGTAGTTTAGATGAAAAATTCTTAAATGGTGACTTTGTTAAATGGTAAAATGTTAATATACATTAGCACATCATTAGTGAAAAAAAATTACTAACTTAGCTACTCTCAGGTTCAATGTGGCTATTTGAGAGAGATAATTCAACTAGCAGACTGGGTCTCTTATCAGTGCATTAGGTTTTGAGAGGCCATATCAGAGATACATAAATATAATTGCAAAATGACTTAAGTTAGAGCATAAAAAATAGAAATAACAAGGAATGGACTCACACAATAAAATACTATTTGCACCCGAACACAAAGGGGTTATAATCTATACTTCCAGGGAAGTTCTCCTTCAATTTTCATCTAATTCCTCTGACTGCTTAGAATAGCAAGAAGATACAGTCATTTCTGAACTCAGTCTCAGTGGTACATGGTTAGAGCACAGTGCTCTCTCTCTCTCTTCTGAAACTCCATTATTGTTGTTTGAGGAATAGCTAAATGCTTATGAATCATCTCTAGAGTTACAAAGGTCCAGAGGAAACATTGGGGTTCAGGAACAGTGTGACATTAAAGAAAGCATATTAACTCTGGAGTCAGAAGACCTGGGTTTAAATCTTGTGTCACACCTTGGGCAAGTATTGATTACTTTGGGGAAATGATTTTGTTTTTTTGGACCTCTATTTCATCATCCCTTAAATGACAGGGGTTAGACTAGAGGGCCACTGACTCCCTCACCAACTCTACATCTATGGTCCTATGAACCAATAGTCTTTGAGTGTTCAGTGTTTTAAGTACGAATAAGAGAAATAGTGCTAGCCATCAAATAAGTTGAGATTGCTTTTGGTACTACCCTACTTTATTGGGAAGAAGATATGACATTTTTTCTCATTATATATTTGTCCTGGCAAGTATATAACATCATATAATATAATAACATGTAGTATATGATATAATAATATAATACCATTTCATATATCATATAATATCACAATATAATAATATCATACAATATAATATCATCATAAAGAATCATTTGCCTTTATCATTGGAGTACTTTTAGAATTCAATCTTAGTAACATCCATGGGCTAATTATATTTTGAAAATTCAAGTTGTAAATTCCTCTTATTATAAATTATCAACTAGAATTTGGATTATATTTTTAAAGGTTTTTCATGGGACTTTTGTTTGTGAGTCCATAAAACTGGCCATTTACTTACTCAGGTGTCAAAATTGTTAATAGTCAAATGGGTCCCCAGTAAAGGAATGAAAAGTAAGATATTTCTTTTTAATACATGCAGTAGAAATACAGGGTGTCCCAAAAGTCTTAGTGCAGTTTTTAGCTTTAACAACTTAAATCTTCACTAAGACTATTGGGCACCTTGTATAATGCTTTCAAAGGGTGAAGTAATCTACCAAGAGATGATGTAGATTTTTATTGTCCTTTGTATTCGTACAGTAGAGAAGACTTATGTTTGCATTTAATTCCCTAGTTCTTGAGCTGGGAGGATACTTATAAATGTAGACATATCAAATCTATCCTTTTCAACTCTGTTAACTCAGCAACTGTCACATGCATGAAATACCAGTGGCCATGCTGTTTCTCTCTGTGCCCTCATGGTCCAGTGAATCAATCTCTCAAATCTATTGGAGCACACAAATACATTTAGAATAGTATATGTGGTAGTCTTATTTTACAAATAGAAAATTTGGACAGGGCCTGGTTAAATGTTTTACCTATAACTATGGAAATGAAATACATAATTAATTAGAAGAGAAGAATCGTAATTTTTGTGCAGAGAATTCTTGCTTTGAGAGCTTTCCTCCACTAGACTATAACCTCTAAGACTTAGCAGACAAGTGCTAGGGAGTTTTCTGAGATAAAGATCTTGTGACTTGTCCAATGGCATATAGCTACTAAGTACCTGAAGTCAGATTTGAATCCAGGTCGTCCTGACTCCAAGCTGGCATTGTACCTAC